TACTGATGAAGAGTCTCAAACCAGGATAAGACAACTGTCGAGTACTCCAAGGTTTTCTGACGGTTCTGTAACCAACATCAGCGCAGGATATTTAAACTAGTTAATTCCTGCAAACCAACACCTGAATGTTATGAATGTTCTAATTCATTTTGAGGAATAAATATTGACTAATGATAACTGCGAAATTTACCTGAATGTCCTACTTAAAGTTCTTGGTTTATCGAAGAAACATTTGATTTGACTATTTTTAGATTTCTAGATTATGAGATTTTGTAGAGATTAGAATTAGTTCCGATGGAGATTTTGTCATGAACCATTATCAGTCGGTTATCACTGAAACAAGGGAGAGCGGGATAGCTGCATTTATCCTTCACTGAATATCCACGATCCCAACAATGATAGAATCCCGGTCTTTCGAGTTACGAGGTCAGACTAAAAGATTATTCAGACATTTTGTTTGGGATTCCGTGACCCGTGAGTTTTAAACTTCGTCAATTCATGATATACCGTAGTCCTCACAAGGGACGCCTTCTATCGAAAACATCAAGATTTATCAAATTTACTTTTACGGAAATAACATGAGTTTGCGTAAAATTTAAGTATTTTTCAGGGTGTGTTAACTCTGTTAAACGATTGTGTTAAAGCTATCACCCTATTATTTATTATGCAGCATAAATACTTTTCCCGATTCATGATTCATGGAAAGATAGAGTTGGATTCATTGTAAAGTTTCTGTGGGTTAAGTTATATTTTCTGCATATCTCGAAATATAATCCTCAACTCAGCTGAGATATTTTCAACGTTAACTTTAACAAAAGTATCCAGTATTTCGTCATACTTCTTAATGATGCGTATATACATTTGTGTGAAACATATTGCGTGTATACTTATAGCTCTTGAGTAAATCTAAAAAATGCTTTGCTAAGTTTCTTAAACTAGGTTTGTAAACTCTCTTCTGATAAGCACATCCTTATATAATAAAAAAATTTTAGCATCTTTTACTAGTGCGTCGGTGGCACAGTGGTTAGGATCCTCGCCTACCATGCACATGGTCCGGGGTTCGAGCCCACGCCGACGCACAATCGATATCTATGGTCGGCCTGCGAATTTTGGGCTACCGATATCCACGCTGAAAATTCCATACTTGTACCAAAAATACGTTGTGGAATCAAGCTGTAAATCAAAAAAAAGTATTTTCTCTATCAAGAAAATTAACAGTCGGTAATATATCACTTGAAGCAATAGTGCTGTATACAAGCACGTCATAGCAACTCTCTTTCCCCTAGACAAATCCATAGCAATTAGTTGAAAGCTATTGAAAGTCGGAGTGAGAACACACCATAAATCAAGGATTCCTATTAGTCTTTTTGAGTTCCAAGGTAACACGGGGCTTCCAGCTTGAACTCTGAAGTTTTGGTAGTGGTGATGTTTTCTCTGTTACATAGGTGAGGTTACTAGCCTCACACTCAAACTTCCCTTCTTTTTTGGAATTCAAACTGCTGAGGAGATATTTATTAGTTCGTCTTCCGGAAATCGAACCCTGATGACGTGCCAGCTAAGAATGTAATTGTCTAATTACAACCAACTGAAACACAGTAGCCTAGTGGCTTAAGGAAGCCTCCATTCTTTTCAGTGACAAACTTAAATCAGGTTTTTCTGCCCACTGTGTAGCATCAAACATAGATAAGTAGATTAAATCAAGTTATATACTTCATGAAGTATACGGTGCGTAAGATTACATAGGACCAGTGTAAATAATCAGGTATTCTTTTTGAACAGACCTCATCCGACACACTGGTATTAATTATGTCAAACTACTGCAGTCAGTGTGAGATAAAAGACTTCCTCGTTCAAAGTAAGTACATTTTGACGTCAAACTCACTAAATCTGAAGGAAAAACTAAACTCTGGATTCTCATTCCCTGCAGTCTGTCAAATTGTTAGGTGTTTCTGCTGTCGTAAATGTGAGGATAATTCATTGTAAATAATATCAGTCATTGTAATGATATATGTCAATGATTCCAACCAGGTAAGTACACATATATGTATATACATTTAGGGACTAGACACCCGGCAATAGTTGTTGTCCAACTAAGGTATCTAATGTAGTCCTAAAGGAGGTCAATCAGGAGGACCAATAGTTCAGTGGTTAAGCATCCGACTGCACTACTGAGTGATGCGGTTTGAATCTCAGAAGGGATATGAGTCCCTCCAAGATTGTAGATACGCCTTACTGACGAATACCGACAAGCACCAAAACCTAGGTTGAAGGCTTACAGGCAACTGACTTCAATTATCTAGAAAGAACAATTCTGAGTGTTGTATATATATATATATATATATATATATATATTTTAGAGTGAATATCTGAGGAAACACAAACTTGCAATACGACTTGTCAAAAACTTAACCCACATAAGTGATCTGCATATGCCTTCCTTTCGAAACTCACATGAATCCAAATATGGGTATCAACATCATGTCAGACGTTTTGAAACTCCATAATCTAAATACCAACCTCCACCTTACTGATATTGGTGGCCACTGGGGTCTACAAATTGCGACAAATCGAATGCCCATCGAAGGCATCAACTGAGGGTAACGCTATATCACGAAATGACAGAAGTTAGAATACATGGGTCATCGAATTCCATTCCAAGTCCTTGAATGATCAGCCAGCTTAATCTCGTAACCTGAAGGTCTTGGGTTTGTTCTCTGATGGTATCGCAGCTATGCACTGCTAAACTGTTACAAACTAAGACGAAATAGTTGTCTAGCACTCCCTAGTCCTTAATGATCTCCAACTGATTTTGGTTTGTTACGAAATCTCCACTGAAATTAATCCATATCCATACAAGAATGAGTGTTTACGTTTCTGTTTAACCATTTACCTCATAAATACTTGACCTTATCTTAAATACTGTTTTCAGACACAATAGGCGATAAAGGTATCCCTATGGCATTTTTTTCAAACAATCCGATTGCGTGACATACAGTAAGAAGAAGTCCAGATTGTTTATTTCCTTTAATTAAATTTATATATTTCATCTTTAGATGAAAAAAAGACATTGAACAACGAGCTACATATGGAATATATTTTTGCATGCCAATTGTTTACAGCTGTAGGAAAAAGACAATTAGATTAACAGGTGACTGTATTCAATAAAATTATCAGCTATTTCTTAGATTTAAAATTTATTTAATAGTGGGACAATGAAATTGAGATACACTTACTTCACTGCCTTTTTGAAATGCATCTTGCTGACTCCGTCCAACCGTTTGCAATCAGTCAATTTTCGATATTATCCCGCATTGTTGCAAATAAGACTATCATTTGGTGAAATAAGTTGTCCTAAATCAAATGCATCGCATATCATTAGAGTGAAAACTACCTAATGGAGTAATTCTTATTAGCATTGATGATATTTTTCCTATTTTTAACGAGTTTGACCACGGATTGATATCGGTAAGAGAATCACTGAAAACGAGTTAGTACTGGACAGCTGACTCATCCAAGCTTGAGACTCATCATCAGTAAGAGCCCACTGGAGCTTGAACCTAGGACCTTCAGTTTGGAAGGCAAACTCGTAGACTATTTAGTCGCTGAGCCCTGACTCAATGACCGAACTCGTGATTTAGAGAGACCACCAACCGATTTCGTCGATGAGACATCCATCCTAACCATTGGCTGGATGGACCTCACTGGTCACGACTTCTCACTGGAACTCCAGGAAACTCCTTCCTGTAGCAAGTCACTAGCGAGCATCAGATTAACTTTCAAGAATTGGTTTATGAGGATGTGACGTCCATCCGGTCAAGTGCGAGGATGGATATATCACCTATGACATTGGTTTGTGGTCACGCTAAATCAAGAATTCGTAGAAGTTAGAATTCATGGGCCGTTGAATTGAGTCCCAGTGGCTGAATGGTACACCAGCTTGTCTTGTAACCAGAAGGTCCTGGGTTCGAACCATGGTGGTAGGTGTGTACGGTTGAAGAGTTCTAACCTAAGATAAATCAGCTGTCTAGTACTTCTTACTGGTTTTCAATGCTTCTCCAACTGATATCAATCCGTGGGCAAACTCATAAGAAACAAATCTAGTCTTCACTGACCAAATCTTGAACATTTTTACTGTTGTTTAGACTAATTTATTTTCCAAAACTGACATTTCATGTTCTAGACAACGAGCTACGTGTTGCATGAGAACTGATGATACTACTCAGCTGAACAGACTGAAGAAGGTGGAGCAGAAGATTTTTCTACGACCCTTTGGTTATAAGCCGAATACTTAAAGAAGCAGACCACGTCTCCACCTTCTTTTGGCACTGGCACTAGCATCTATTAATAATGATACTAAACCAGTTTACAACAGACTTTCAGTATTTCATATATGGTAAATACTACTAGTCACATGTTCAGTGTATTACCTTATATCCACATTTCTCAAGTGTTAAATAGTCTCTGAAACTTACGATAAAACATTTTCACAGTCGTATCAGTCGTGTCGCTGGCCGACACAGTTTAAACATAAAACTTAGGACAGAACTGCAACAATTCATGATGCCAAACTCTACATATGGCACCATATCAGACAAATGAGAGAGCGAAGTAGATTCAAAAGAACCATTGTAGACAGAATTGTCAGGGAGAAAGAATAGTGACTTCTTAAAAAAAAGATGATTTTTAAGTGAATATGGGAGATCGTAAACAGCGAACTCATCTGCAGCGCTCAAAGCGATTTTGAGCGGCATCACCCATTAACTGCAGTCATTGGTTCTTAACATCTGGAGGAGCAAATCCAGGCCACCTACAGTTCCCTACATATCTGGCTCAAACTAACTGTCATAATCTACATGAACTGATGTCAGGTTCACGTTTGACCACCACTAAATCTCTCCCATTTCACCTTATCTAACACTTTATTATTTGTTTAACGAATACCATTAGATTTTTATAAAACAGTCTCGTGTTTTTCTTTTCACTTCCTTGAATTCACAAAGGAACATAGATTTTCAGGCTTTTGGCGCTTAAGTTATACGAAGTTAGGTCGCTCGCCGCGCATCCTATCTCAATCCTCTTCCGAACTTAACGCAGGCTGGCAAACTTGTTGAGGTACAGGGGCGTATCAGCCGACAATCGGTACCGAACCAAAAGCGTGGTAAACTAGCCATCTTTGACTCAACCACAGATGCACGGTCAAACTCATGTTTACACATACACATATATAATTTTTGGGAATTAATATGAAAACCAGGTAACAGTCTTTATGAAGTTACAATAATTTAATTAAAATTGATTATTTTGTACTAATTAATTTTTAATTTTAAATCCATTATAAACGTGAGGCTATAGTGATACAGTCTTGAAGAATAACCGGTTTCTTGCACTGGATTTTAAATTCCTAAATAAGACCTAAAAGTACTGAAAAAGGAGGATAACCTTAGATTGAAAGAATGCACTGCATTACCGTGGACTGATGTCCCAGTTTTATCAAATCATTAGACACGATATTCACGAGTGTTGTGTACAGACCTTGTTAGGTATAACTGCGTGATATTGCTCATTGTCCACTACGTCTCGGATTCGAGTCCTATTACATCCTTACACAACAGGTTGTTTTCAGCCTGCTATATGAAAGATGTGTTCTGGATAATTCAACTCAAATAAATACACTTCTGTCTGATTGAATACAAGGTGTGGGTAGGTGTGTGATTTCACTGATCACGAACACTTAGTTGTATGCCTTCATTAATGCAGGGCATCAATTTCTCATTGCACATCATTAGGATGAATATCAAAGTTTTCTGAACGTACCAAAAAATACTTTCCCATAATTCTTTTACTACACTGATTATTCACTATTCTCCAAATATTCGTAAGGTATAATACTTCATTAGTGATTGACGAAAATCTAAAAGGTTGGCGGTTATTATGTTTTGTTACACAATGCACATTCTAAGGACATCCGAGAGGTGGACAAGGTGTACCGTAATTTTTTCTGTTCTTACCTTGTTCTACATAATCAGATTTACTATGTAAAAAAAGAAGAGAAAAAAGAAAAAATTAACATGGTCTTTTTTATTTGTTACTTGTATTTCACGAGGGATTACATCAAAAGGCTGATTGAATGACATTTACTCATGATTTCAAAAGAAAGCCAGGTCATAAGGTCATAGACTGGTTAGAGTGAGTCTCTTCTATTTGCTGATTATTTGACTGAATCATTTTTAACAAGGTGGAAGCAGAAATTATTGTTGTTACTATTATTATTATTCTTAACCTTATAGGTGTATGCCTAAAAAAGAAAGAATACGCCGAATTGTTTGAGGTTTTTGTAGGTATTTCAGCCCACTGACACAGACACAATAGTAAAAGGTTTCTACATAGGAGCAGTTGGTAAAATGAATAGTTTAGTTAAAATTTGATGATGAGAAACTTTTTATGGTATAAAAGTCATTATCTTCATTGAGAACTCATTGGCAATTACCATATCATGCATCATTCTACGACATTGTTTCACCAATAAAAACTTTAAGAAACACAGAGTACAAATAACAAACTTAACAATAAAACTATCATATTTTACCATATTGCATATGTTACGGTAAGTGATACAATATTAATAACTGGATCACGTTTCAGTCATCATTTAATGCTCATAATCATATCAGTGTGTTCCCATAAGTTTATAACTTGTTCTCTATATCCACCTACTCTGCTATTTTTAAAGATCTGATGTAGGTGTAGCGTCATTTTGATTGTACGCGTTGGGCGTTAAATCGGTAAACAGAGATTCAGCGATCGACCCCCCCTTACCTAAGTATGTTATTTCCTTTGAAATTTTCAACCTATTCTGCCGTATTGTGTGTTCATATGTAAGCGGATGCCTTGAAGTGCCTGAGCTTTATTCAGGATTGTTTAGCTTAGGAAGATAAGACATACTAGACCTAACTAAATTTCTGTGTCTCAGTAACCTAATCGATTCTGATGCACTAGTCTGACTGGGTGATTGAGATCCAACTGTATTATTATTATTGCTCCATTGGGTTCCTGGTGGAACATAGGGCTTCAACTGCACGTCCCCACTTGCTCCTGTTTTCTGCTGTGCTTTTCACCTGCATCCATGTTAGTCCATACTCTCTCAACTCCTTTTCACACGATCTCCCCCATGTCAACCTCGCACTAACGTCCCACTCGCCGATTCCCTTTCGCGTTCCACTGGGGGCATGACGCGCGATGTCATCCAGCGATCTCCTCAGCGAGCGAGTGTCCAATCCATCTCCACTTTCTCCTGCATATTTGTTGGTTGGCGATTGGTTCTTGTTTTGTTTGTTCCCGGCCCTAGTCTCTTGTTGGTGATTCTTTCCGACCCGGCCATCTGATCTTAAGAATAGAGCCAGCGAAGGCAGTTAGTTGTTGATAAATGTCTGCAACAGGCTGTTGGAAATATTCTTTGTGACTCGCCCGCCAACTTTCTGATCCATATGGAAGAGCTGACTGACTTGACGTTTGTATTGAAAATCCTACCGAATTTTGTTGTTGATGTTGGCTGAGTGACGAAGATTTCCAGATTGGTTTCAGTTGGTTGATGAATGTGTTTCTCGCCTTCCCGATTCTCGCTCGATTTGACATCCTCGTCCGTTCCGACTGCCTGTAGTTGAGACAACGCTCAACGCTAGATAAGTGAATGAATGAAGTAACCTCTCTCAAATTCCTCCCGTTGATGATGATTCGCGCTGGATGTTGCTGTTGTTGTTGGTTGGTCATTTTCATAACCTCCGTCTGTCTATGTTCACCTGGAGTGCTGTCTCTCCGGCTGCTTCTTCGACCAGTTCGTCGGTTTTCGCTTGTAAGTCTTCGATTTTGTGTGACATCACATACAAATCATCCACGCGCGAAATCCAGGTCTTCTAGGTTCTTCACGTTGGTCCAGGATATTCCTGTCTCGTTTCTCATTTCCCACTGTCTTATGCATATTTCAGTCAGTCCACCACAATTAGGAATATCATTGGTGATAATAGGCAGGCAGCCTTGTCTGACTCCTGTGTTTACTCCAAACGCCTTGCTGAGTTTTCCGTTGTGAGGTCTCACTGTAACACAGCTTTATTAGGAATCTAGCGTATGGACTCTGACGTCCCTTCTTTTTATGGCTGTACTGCCGAAACTTTGAATTCCTCATTATTTATTGTATTTTTATTATTTACATTATTATTCTTATTTTCCTCATATGTCTTCAGGTATTTTTGAATAAAATCCGGTAGGATACATTGGCTATATGATTGATTTCATTATTTTATTTAAATCATCTGATTTCTTAGTTACCCGCATATCTAGATGAAATAAAAGGTTAACTAGACTACGTTTACGGACCTTGTGTGCGATGATTTGAAAGTCCAATTACTCATTAGAATGAATCGGTCTTCTACAGATGTTAGCATCATAAATTACCATCCTGTTTTTTTTTATTCTGTAGTCTTTAAATTTTCTAACAAGAAAGTGAATTGGATTTTATGCACTATTGAATTTAGATGTATGAAAATCCCAGGGATATGGTATGATTTTAGCACTATGAATCTGTTACCTACATATCTTCAACATAACCTAGGAGAAAGATCAAAATTTTAGAGAACTTTAATCTCCTATCTGTAAATATGTCTGCTACTGATCCAGAGTCAATGATCTCATAGTCAGGCTTTCCGTTTGTTTCTATATTATATTCTGAAATTTTAATTCAGTGACGTGTAGACAGTAATTGAATAATCAGTGTTATTTTGTCGACCGGTAATAAAAAGACAGTACGGAGAAGGGCTGTATAAAGCTAGTTCTCAAGTCATGTGAATACATTGGTATGACTATTTGTAATAAAGGTCACTAAGTTATTAATACTGTACCACTGGTTATGCGTTACATCGATTAAACTCTTTAGATATAGAGTTATATCCTACTAACGTGCTTAAATTCTACCCTTACCTTCACATAGTGATTAGAGCTCCACTGTGTTGTGTAATTATCGAAAATGGGCTTCTTCTAGGTTCCTTTCCGTTCCGAGTGGAACACTAGGATTCACTCTTCAAGCCTTGATGTGTTTTATTTTTAGGTGGGGAAAGCTGAGTGTTTCACGTCTAAACCTTCCTTTTCACCAGCTTAACTGCTGTCTAAGCAAAAGCATTGGAATGCAACTGTCGTGAATTGAACCCCTATATGACCGGTAAGCATTCTACTGCTGAACTATAGACGTACTTATAAATAGAACGCAATAGTTTTATTTCTTGCTTTATCTAGCTTTCCATGTAATCCTGAGCGGTAGCTTAGCCATTTTAAACTAAACCACTTAGTGTGGAATAATATTTACCCAGTTACTTACAACCTAGTCTGATGAATACATTTTAAAAATTTCAGAATATATACAAAATAACCAGTTCTCTAGCTGTCTTCTAATTATTTTCACTGGACACCAGCTGGAAACTAGTATTATGTATCTAATCCCTTGTCTGGTGCAGAGGGGATTCTATCAGTAATGCTTCCCATGCTAGGTGGCCACTATCATTGTGCACTGTGAATTGTTGTGAACAATCAGCTGGAGGCTTTTGACTTAGGTTTCGTGCTTACTGGTACTCGTCAGTTAGGCATATCTGAAATCACTGAGAGAACCCATATCCTTTCTGAGATTCAAACTAGCGTCATACATTGATGCAGTCAGAGACGTCACTACTGAACTATTCGGGTTCTTGACTGACCTCTTTTAGGACTGTACTGGACAGTAGGCCATGCTGACAAAGGCGAACAAGAATTTCGTGTAATTAGTTAATAAGAAATAGTCTGGATGAAATTCGAAAGAATTTGTCTAGAAAGAAATTATATCGAATATTTAGTAGTGGTGATACAATCTCGACATTATCTCCCAAGTTATTTTTCAGGTTTTTTTTCTTTGCTTTTAATAGTTAGAAAGATTCTACTAGGCAAGATAATTCAAAGATAACTCATCAAACAGATGATTAACCAAATTCTGATCACTTTTAAATCTATCATTATCATAAATTCCCATGTACAAATGGACATATCTTTGTGCGTATAATTCCCCTGACAAAATTTCAGTTTCATAGGGAAGAAAACTTTTTCAGACAAGGGTAAGCTCAATTTATTTCGTAGATTTTTTCCCCAATTGCATATAACCTGGATATTAAAAATATTTAGGTAATAAATGTGACATAATTTAGACATTCTTTAACTGAGTAACACAGTTTTATTTTATGA